GAGAGAGAGAGAGAGAGAGAGAGAGAGAGAGAGAGAGAGAGAGAGAGATAGAGAGAGCCGACACCCATGTGTTCTATTTGAATAGAACACCCGTCTGTTGGAATAAAACATATGTGCGTACTATTCAAATAGAACATACGTGCGTGCTATTTCAACGTGCGTACTATTTGGATTTCGGGGGCCGACTTTGAGAAATGGACTTTTCCACGGAAAGTTAAATAGTACATACGTGCGTTTTGTTCGGAGGAAGACTGTAGGCAACCAATCAGCTTTTGAAAATCTACAGGTTGTAGCTCAGATTATCAGAGAGTGTTGGCTATGCAAGGAAGATGTGCAATAGCGAACTTCAGCAATCAAACAGCATCATACACATGAGACCAGATAGTCGTGACCTCGAACCAAAAGCAGAATTGCATCACGAGTTTCACCAAATAAGAGCACACCAAAAGCTCATAATTGACAATGCTGGAATAGTCTCATCATCGTCATCAACGAAGAACCAATGTTGGCAGATCCTATCTAGCCTAGACTACAATGCCGCTGATGACGTCAACAGCTCTCCAAAGTACGAGCAGATCTCGGCCAATGCCCCACGCTTCAAGCCCCAGGTATGTCTCTCGTATCACTCACAACCTCGTTCCCCAACTAACAGATGCCACTTGCACCCAAGGACCACCGTGCGCCCCATCCAGCATACAACAGTGCAGCTTGGCTGGCTGCCTGCTCCTTCCAGCTCGCCCGTAAGCGCGTGAGCCTGGCAGGCGATAGCGCAGCAGCGCTTGCGCACAAAGCAGCCACTGCCCGAATGTCCAATGCGTGGGCAGGCCCTTCCCTATATCGAAGTGGCCTGCTGCTGCTTGCTGTGCTGCGGTACTGGGCACCGACCCAGAAGCTTCCGGTATGCCCAGGGAGGCTGAGCCTCAGTCCGAAGGAAACAGGCCCAGGGCCTGAGGCGGTTATCAGCACCCAACTGCCCTCAGCCTTTGTTCGGTCCACTTTGTGTATCCGGCCCAGGGCCTGCCTTAGTTACATGCAATGAAGGCAGCCTGGGCCCGGGGTGCTTCCAACCAACTGGCGCTGCGCAACTGCCTGAATTTCCCCAGTTGCGTGGTGACCCTGAAATGGCCTGTAGGCCTCGGTCGTGCCTGCCTTCACTTAGGGCGGCCGACTGTGTGAAAAATGGGCCCTGAAGGGCATATTGAGGCCCTAAGCCGCGCAGCTAGCTGAATGCAAGGGTATTAGCCTGGTAATCAGCTTATAGATAGCTAACAACATCCTGAAAATCAGATGATTGAGGTTTAGATGAACAGCATGGACCATCTAGTTGAACGCAAGGGTGTTAGCCCAGTAATCTTTTTTTTTTTTTTTTAGCTCAGTAATCAACTTTGCTATAATCCATAATTTCTGTTAGGACGG